ACGAGAGGAGGATGAGGTGAAAAAGGAGGAGGAGGGGGAGGAGGAGGAATCTGATGCAGAGGATGATGATGATGATGAGGAGGAGGAGGAGGAGGAGGAGGAAGAGGATGTGTAATGGGGAGTGGGATGGGAGAGAGTGAGGGGGAGGATGTGGATGAGGGTGGAGGACGAGGAAGGAACTATGGTTGATCAGCATGAAGGAACGCCCAAGCTTTTGAATCTCTTTGTTTGGAACACCAGCTCGTGATTGCCGTGGGCCACTGACACGCGCGAGCCCGAAGCGACGGTGACGAACTCCAGTGCTTCCAGCTTCTATTTTTAGGCTGCGGTGCGCGCGATCGGTTTTTGGGCGGGCATGTCATGGCCCACCCTGCAGGCCTCGAGATTGCGCCGCGCCGCGTCTGCTGCCTGTCTCTTTTTTTTTTTTTTGTTCTCTCTCTCTCTCTCTCTCCTCCCCTCTCTCTCTCTCTAGGTGTTTTTCAGTCTGTCGTCGTTGTCTCTCTCCCTCTCTCTCACACACTCTCCCGTTCTCTGCCCCCATCTTCATACACATACGTATGTATGTAGGTAGGTAGGTAGGTAGGTAGGTCGGTAGGTAGGTAGGTCGGTATCTATGTCTGTATGGATGTCTGTATGCATGCTTGTATGCACGTGTATAAATATATGTATGCACATGTGTATACATGTATGTATACATGCATGCATGTCGGTCTGTCTGTCGGTTTGTTTGCATGCATGCATGCAGGTATGTGCGTGTGTATTTACGTATGGTTGCCTGTCTGTCTGTCTGCCTGCCTGCCTGTCTGTCTGTCTGTCTGCCTGTCTGTCTGTCTGTCGGTCTGTCTGTATGTATGTATGTATGTATGTATGTATGTATGTATGTATGTATGCGTGTATGCGTGTATGTAATGCATGCATGCACGCACGAGCACGTTTGTGTGCATACATGCATGCATGCGTGTATGCATGCATGCAAACATGCTTGCACGTATGCATGCATTTAGGCATGTAGATAGGTATGCATATGGACCATGCATGCATGTATGTATGTATGTCTCTGCGTGTGTATGCATGTATGTATGTTTGTACGCATGCATGCATGTTTATACAAATGCATGCATGCATGTATGTATGTATGTATGTATGTATGTATGTATGTATGTACGCATTTATGCATGCATGCCTGCATGTATATATGTATGTCTGCATGTATGTATGTATGTATGTATGTATGTATGTATGCATGCATTTATGTATGTATGTATGTATGTATGTATGTATGTATGTATGTATGTATGTATGTATGTATGTATGTATGTATGTATGTATGTATGTGTGTATAGGTATGTATGTCTGTCTGGCTGTCTGTATGTATGTATGCATGCATGCATGTATGCCTGTATGTCTATATGCCTGCCTGTCTGTTTGTCTGCCTGTCTGTCTGTATGTCTGTATGTCTGTATGTCTGTATGTCTGTATGTCTGTATGCCTGTATGTCTGTATGTCTGTATGTCTGTATGTCTGTATGTATGTATGTATGTATGTATGTATGTATGTATGTATGTATGTATGTATGTATGTATGTATGTATGTATGTATCTAGTTGTTTATGTATGTACTGCTTCATGTATGGATGAATGGATGGCTGCATGGATGGATGAACGGATGGATATTCGTGTGTGTGTGTGTGAGAGTGTGTGTATTATATATTTATATTTATATATATATATATATGTATATATATATATATATATATATATATATATATATATCCGTAGCACCCCGCAGATGCGGATAAGAGTATGGGGGCGGTGGGGACGTCGGCAGTCTGCGAGACTCTGGAGAAGCCCGCCGCCGGCGCCAAAGTTTCACGAATTATGCAACGAGCCCGCCGCAGGCGCCGATTTTTTCGTTAAGCCAATGTGGGTAGGTCGCTGGGGGGTCGCGGCTGGGTCGCGGGTGGGTCGCAGGTGGGTCGCGGGTGGGTCGCGGGTGGGTCGCGGGGTGGGTCGTTGGTGGGTCGCAAGTGGGTCGCGGTCGGGTCGCGGGTGGGTCGCGTGTGGGTCGCGGGGTGAGTCGCTTGTGGGTCGCGGGTTGGGTCGCGGGTGGGTCGCGGGTGGGTCACGGATGGGTCGCGGGGTGTGTCGCGGGGTGTGTCGCGGGGTGGGTCGCGGGTGGGTCGCCCGCCGGCGTGACGACGACAACAAACAACAACACCAACAACAACACCAACAACAACAACAATAACCACAATGCAACAATCAGAATCCTCACCACGGATCCCCAATTCAGCCACGCATCCAGGGACAAACAATGAATGACCGTTCGGCCCCTTCACTCTGATATATATATATATATATGTTAAATACGTGTCTATGTATCCAATGGCTTTCGGCCCATCCGCCACCGTGCCTGGGTTGTCGGTCAGAGTTCTCAGGGATGCTCTTGGGGTCTCTTCGGAACGCTTTCGAGGGCCTCTTGTGGGCAGTTTTGGGGCCTCTTGGGAGCCTCTTGGGGGCCTCTTGGGGCCTCTCGGAGCCTCTTGGGGGCCTCTCGGAGGCCTCTTGAAGCCTCCTGGGGGCCACTCGGGGTAGAGGGCTCCAAATGTCCGTTCGGGGCCTCTTGAGGCCCCTCTGGCCCGTCTTGGGGCCCTCTTGGGCCCGAACAAGTCATGCGGGAAGCCGCTGGGAACCCCAGGGAACCCGCGGCATGCCCTTGGGGATTTGTGAATTCGGGATCCGGGCCGCTTAAGAACCCGCAGGATCGAGGGCTGAGGCTCAGGGATTGGGCAAAGAGCCCGAGGACGCACCCACTCCGTGCTCAGCGGCACGGATGTGTACATAGTTAGTTGTATCGATATGGGTATATTGGTCCATGTAGTTGCACACATCTCTTACATGCATATATGAATGTATATGTTCATTTAACTATGCCTCCATACTATTGCTGCATCGATGTATGGCTACCAACCCATCATTGTCGCACTCTTCTCCCTCCTTATCACTCTTTTCGTGTGCCCTGTCTCTGTCCTGGCTTCTGCCTCTGTAGTGGTCTCTCTGTCTTTGTGTGTCTCTGTCCATGTCTCTCTCTCTCTCTCTTTTTATTTTTGTTTTTTTGTTTTTTTTTGTCTTTTCGTCTTTCTGCGTCACCGGCTTTCTGTCTGTCCGTCACTTCCTATCTTTGTTGCTCTGCTTATGGAGAAGGAGAAGACGGGAAAGGGGAGAGAGGCCAATGGTGAGGGGACGGGGAGAGGGGGAGATGAGGGAACGGAAGAGCGGAGCCAGCAGGACGCAGGGGGAGAGATGGGTGGGAGGGGGAGAGGGATCGGAGGGAAAGGGAGGGGAATAGAGATAGGGAGGGATGACAAAGGGAAGGTGATGGAAAGGGGTGTAATTATGAGCAAGGGAGGTAGGGAAAAAGAGGAAAAGCGGGGGAGCGAGGGGAATGAGGCGGGGACGGAGAAGGAAGGGCATCCCTTCCCCCCTCTTCTCTTACATTCTCCCTGTTCGCCTCGTCCTCCTCCTTCCTCCTCCTTGTCCGCCTCATCCCTTTGAGGGGCTCATCTGCCCACAGCTCCGTCTTCTCGGTGATCGTGCCCTGAGTGTCTTGGATATTTTAAGAAGACTCCACCTTGGCAGGTCAACATCCTGAACTTCTGCACGCCGGCCCAGGATGGCGTTTTTTGCCGGAACATCGGGCTCGGGATTCGCGGGCGTGGCGTGGGGGGAGGGGGAGGCGGAGGAGGCGGAGGAGGACAACGGATAAGGACGACGGAGGAGGAGGAGGACGAGGAGGAGGAGGAGGAGGAGGAGGAGGAGGACGAGGAAGAGGAGGAGGAGGAGGAGGAGGAGGAGGAGGAGGAGGAGGAGGAGGAGGAGGAGGAGGAGGAGGAGGAGGAGGAGGAGGAGGAGGAGGAGGAGGAGGAGGAGGAGGGGGGAGCGAGCGGGACCATATGGAAAAGGGAAGAGGGACCTTCACAGTACCGGCGATGAGAGGGAAGCGGACGAGAAGGATGAGGAGGAGGAGGAGAAGGAGGAGGAGGAGGAGGAGCAGGAGGAGGAGAAGAAGAAGGAGGAGCAGGAAGAGGAAGAGGAGCTCACGTCTCTCCGACGCTCGCCCATTCCCCTCCGCCTTCTGGTTGCTTCCCGCTCTGTCCTCCCTCATCCCTCCTCCTTTCCAGGTGTTGGCTCCTTTGGGGTCGCGCCCCGTCGTCGGCACACGTGTGCTCCTTGGCCTTCCGCCCGGGTGCTGATGGGCCTCAACTCTCTTGATGGGCGCGCCCCCCTGGCCGTGCTATTCCGGGGACCTCCGGCCGCTGCGCCTGGCCCCGATGGCCACCAGACCCAGAACGGGTCTTGCGCCAGCGCCGCGGATCCAGAGATCACCGAGCGCGTTCCACTACTCACAGAGTGCCCACTCGGAAGCGTCCGAAGAGCAAGTGTTCGCCTCGTCGTAGTGGATCGTAGCTCCCCCGCGGCATATCCGGGCCATCTGCGAGTAGTTACTCTGCGAGTAGTGGAGCGCGCTTGTCTGAGAGAGGGAGGAGGAGGAGCGGATCGGCTTTCTGCGAAGGGTCAAGCCCTTGCTGCCGGGTGAGCGCCCAGCCCATTTGGGTGGAACGGTTGAGACGAGGAGGAGGAGGAGGAGGAGGAGGAGGAGGAAGAACATCATGACTTTTTACGGGGTTCAGACGAGGATGAGGATGATGATGATGGTGATGGTGGTGGTGATGATGAAGTTGATGATGATGATGGTAATGATGTGATGATTATTATGATGGTGGTGGTGGTGGTGACGGTGACGATGACGATGACGACGACGATAATGATGATGATGCTGATGCTGATGATGATGCTGTTTACACATATGACGATCGTGAGGATCATATTAACTATGGGATGATGATGACGTTGATGTTGATGTTGATGATGATGATGATGATGATGATGATGATGATGATGGGGATGCTGATGCTGATGATGATGGTGATGGTCATGATGCTGATGACACATATGACGATGATGATGCTGATGAAATGATGACGATGATGATGTTGATGATGATGATGAATATGACGTCGATGATAATCATGACGATGATGCTGGTGACGATGATGATGCCGATGCTGCTGATGATGTTGATGGTAGTGGTGATGCTGATGATGATTCTGATGCTGGTGGTGGTGGTGACGGTGACGATGACGATGACGATGACGACGATGATGATGCTGCTGATGATGCTGACGACGACGATGCTGCTGCTGATCATGATGATGCTGATGGCACAGATGGTGATAATGTTGTTGATGATGCTAATGATGATTATGATGATGACGATGATGATGCTGATGATGGTGATGATGATGCTGATGATGTTGCTGAGTATTAGTAGTGTTATTACTATGATTGTTTTGACTGGTGATGATGCTGATGCTGGTGATTGTTATGGTGATGGTGATGGCGTTGATGATGAAGACGAAGATGAAGAGGATGATGATGCTGCTGCTGATGATGATGCTGATTATTACTATTGCGATTATTCGGATTACTATTATTATTATTATTATTAGTAGTCGTATTAGTATTACGGCTGTTATTATTATCGTTATTGTTCGTTTCATTACTATTATTGGTGTTCGATGGTTGATGATTGATTTTGGATGACTGCTGATTGATGATGCTGCTGCTGAGGATGAGGAGGAAGATGAATCTGATAAGGGAGGAGGGGGAGGAGGAGACAGACAAGATTTGGCTGAAGGTGGACGCCGACTTGGAGCTCCAAGTCAGATCATGATGTTCAATCAATGTGTTGTCCTTGTCAATTGAGGAGTCTTTAATGCACTCAAGCCATTATTGCTATTCATCCTCCACGCCATTCCACGTGCCGACGAGCAGTGTTTGTGAGACGAGTGGTCTGCGGCATTCACCACACAAGCACTTAACCTCCAAAGCAGCCATCGAACAGCAACACTAAATGAATTGATGATGTGCGCAGGCATCCCATCTCATCGCCTTCGTTCACCTCCTTGCCCTCCTCCGCCTCGTCGCCATCGACCTCTTCCTCTCAGTGCTCTGCCTATTCCCCCCCCTCGATTTGCTTTAGGTGTCTCATTGCTTTACCTGCCGTTCGTTGAACATCTACAGCGTTTGACTCACACATCCCAGTATATTTTAGGCGCCTTCTTACTCTAAGGACTGATGCTTTCCTTTGTGGCCCTTTGCTTGGGCATGCCGAAAACATCCAGTTAAACCGTCATCCTGCTCCATGTTTTCTCCAGCCTCTTCTGCCCGGCCTGTACGTATTATCCTAATGTTTGTCGTCCTTTGGCTTGCATATACAAGCTGCCCTGCAGGGTATGATGGCCGCAGGACCGCGCGCGGGGGAGGGGGGGATGTCTCAACGGAGGAACCCCGACAGCCACGCCGACTTCGGGAAGAGGAGAACGGGAAGGAAAAGGGGAAGGATGAAGAGGATGAGGAGTAGGATGAGGAGTAGGATGAGGGGCGGGGAGGAGGAGGAGGAGAAGGAGGAGGAGGAGAAGGAGGAGGAGGAGGAGGAGGAGGAGGAGGAGGAGGAGGAGGAGTAGGATGAGGAGTAGGATGAAGAGGATGAGGAGTAGGAGGGGGAGGAGGAGGAGGAGGAGGAGGAGGAGGAGGAGGAGGAGGAGGTGCTTGTACAGAGCGTTGCGACTGGCTGAGAAGGGTGTAATTGCAGCAGGGAGCGTAGCGGACACGACTTGGTTAGGATCGCCCGGCGTGCGTCGACCGATGGCGTTTGGCTCCAGTGGTATCGCCTTCTTGCGAGAAAGCCTCCTGCCCGATTTTCATAGTAGCGGAGCCCGTCGTTCGCCCCACGGGTTCAGAGTACAGGTAGCGGAGGCGGCAGCTGCAGCTGCCCCCGCTGTTCTGGGTCATGATGTGTATTTTCCTAGCGTACGCTAAGCCTGGCACAACCTGGACACGAATCGATTCGCAGAGCAGTGGAACGTAGGTTACGAGAACGCGAACTTCAGGCGCGTGGCAAACGGCGTTTTAAACCAGTCACGAAGGCATGAATTTCTTGTTCGAGTGCAGTGCCACACAGGGCACCAGGAAAGTGGGGAACGACGAAGCCTTCACAATGTTGCAGATGAGCTACAACATGAATGCTCTCCTGATCTCAGTCGTCATTCGCCACATGTACTGCAAGGAACAGTTCAATACTTTGGACGGTTACGTGAGGAAATAGTTTCAAGATCAAGCGACCACTTCGGGGCATGTTACCAAGATAGCTCGGGCAACGCAGTCCGCAAGACTCGGCAAGGCTGGCGGAGGTGGAAACAAGACCGTGCGTGAATACAAAGCTGCTCAAGACGTAAGGGCGCTCTCAGGCGAAAGGACCAAATTCAGAGGATAGAGCGAACATCTGTTGAATGCACTCGCTCCAGTGAAGCACGATTGCCAGACAACTTTAATAATCTGAATAACAAACTCGAAGCCATGAGTGGGGCACGTCCTGATGACGAATAGGACGATCTGCTAAACACATCATGAACAGACGGTATTGCGCGAGTGCGCCGAAGCGCCGGACATCAAAAGGGCGAAACCGACCAAAACAGGAACATGAGTTGGACGAAAGCGACTGTTCGAAGTTGGACGAGGACTTTTGGTATTTATTAAACGATCAATTTGAGGGAACAGAGCCTCGGAGGAAACTTAAGGGCCTACATGAACCAGCTGGTTTGGTGGCCTACCACAAATCTACAAGTGGTGCTCTGCGGTTACTTCGGATGCTCGTTCGCACAAGATGAACTTCACCATGCGCCCTGAAGAGGCGAAGAACATGAAGGACGTGGTTTTGCAGCTTGGACAGGGGAGTGCGTTAGTAGAACTACTTGAAAGTATGGGTCTGCCTATTCGTGGCCGCTGCCGTTCAGGGTTACAGTCTTGAGAGCCATCGTGGCCCACGCCGGTGGTTGGTTTGATGACTGGCCGCAATATTGGTTAATCATGTCAGACTTGTTGAACATCGACACGTGCCAACAGATCTTAGTCAGATGCGACGATTGGGCAAAGCAGAAGAAAGTTAGACGCTGACGCGAAGAACACCGATTCTATGGACGTTGGCCTGTTTAGATGACGACAGTGGAAATTGGGGAGGACGCGGGTTATTACGACGAGGTTGGTAATTGGTGGCCCTGGGCTGGACATCAACATCGATACACTCAGCATTGCATTTGCCCGTCGCCCAACGAGTTGTCTTTGAAACGTTGCCGCGCCTTACATTTCTATATTCCTTTCCGGGTTTGTGGGTCGATCATGTTTACACGCGATTTTTGGGAGTTGGATTTTCTTTTGGCCTTTTGTTTCAAAATGTTGCTCCCGCTGAAGCGCTGGCCTCATTTTCGGGATTCCGCTCGTTCCGAATCGTGTTCCCGCTGCAGCGCTGGCCTCATTTCCGCGCTTCCGCTCGTTCCGAATCGTGCTCCCGTTGCAGCGCTGGCTTCATTTCTGCGCTCCCGCTCGTTCCGAATCGTGCTGTCAACATCCGTAAGGGCTTCGCCCCCTGCCGCTGGCCCCCTCTTTATCATAGTGGGATCTATCAGAGTCGCGTCGGTGCGTCTTGGCGCTGCCCTCGCGCATCTGGGAACATCATGCGGGGGCGGATAGGAGCCATCAGCGCATATTCAGACGTTGGC